CAGTATTCATAAAAGAGTAGGCGAGAAATCCCCGGATGTCCTACTGCTTAAACCCAGATTCTGGAGTGCTCATCGATGGACACTCTTCCCAGAAGCCCACGCGAGAGGATACGTCATCATCAAACGTGATGGAGAACAGCGATGAGGGTGTTTACAAATGTGAGTATTAGAAATCAAATACACGGTTCCCTGTGTTAAAATCATATTTGTTGAGCGACTGTAGAGTAAACTGTTTATTTGCTGAAGGTGTAAGACGCTAGACAGTAACGTTACAGTATATTTGTGATTTTGCTGTAAAAACATGCTTTATTATGTATAGCGAACAGCGGAGCTCCAGTAAGCACACGTACGTCACCAAAGTGAATTTACATAAACCTTATACATTTTAAAGACGATTACTAAATGTCTATTTAATATGAGACAGGAAAATATTCTAACAGAATTGCAGATGAGCCCATCACAACATGAACATGATCTGAGCGAGTGATGTATGTGTGCTATTATAGTAGAATTCACTGTCAGCACTGCTTTAGATGAATGTAAATAAACAAATCTACATAGAGTAACTAAACATATGTTATCTATTTTATTTGTCCATTAGTATTGTTGATAGATTAAGGAACATTTGTGTAGGATAAAAAGCGAGTTAACACAACATGTAACTGCAGTACTGAGCAGATAAATCACAGAGGTGACTGACTCTTGTCTGATGTTACAGGAACAGATGAGACACACGAGTGTTTATCTGCTGCAGAGAGACTGATGAAGCAATGCTGCCATCAAAGGCTCTCGGTGAGTACACTACAGACATCAATAAAACATCTTTTAAATCTTAAGTTGTAGTTTATATTATATTTAATTATTGTAATTTCAAACATAGCTATTACAGCGCTTTTCTGATTCTTGATTGCTGTGCATTTGCTGCAGAGCTTTTGTGGTGGAGCAGGTGACGGCAGCATTTGCGGAAAAAAGGGAAAACCTGAAACAAAAATATAAAGTAAGATCATTCTGTTTCTTCTAATACAGAAATCAAAAACATTGTGCTGTTAAAATGCTTGTGTATTGTGTTTGTGCATCTTTGCAGGATCTGAAATGTCTGCAGGCTGGTGTGAGCAGTGAGGATGGAGAGTCCACAGCAGCGTCCTGGAAATGCTCCAGTGCCGCGGATGAGACGCTCCATCACTCCAACTCTTACTGTCTCATCAGGACCGGATGCTGCGGTGGTCTCTTCATCCTCAGTGACCCCAGAGCCAGCTGGAGCATCTAGAGAAA